ATTAATGCTCTACCCATAAATGGGTACTTTCGACCTGTACTGACCTGTTTGTTTCTTCTCTCGTACGTCCTGGATTTGGTACAGGCATGTAACACAAGGTCTACCGGACCCAACCTCACCATCATCTCTTGCCTAGTAAATCCTACTCGTGAGACGCTCCTCATTCATTCACAGGGCCACTTTTACTAATAGGGCCCCATCAATCAATTATCACGGAGGAAGATTTGCCACGTGCCCCAGATGGTATAGCCACTGAGTATCATATGGTCATAGAAGTCCCAGCTTCCTAAGCCACGTATTTACCTAATAGTCGATCAAAGAAACATACACAATAAACTGTTTGCTCTATTCACGATTGAGGTTCAAACGACAAGATACTTTAGAAATACTCTCTTATATTAGACACGTATCATGATAAGCAACACGTTTATATTTAAATTGTTTTTTGTTTCCTCCTCCGGTACAATGTAATTTAAGGATATTGAAACTTTGTAAGCGGTCAAAGACATTTTTTTATTTTTTTTTTCAATCGTAAAATTGTCATGAATCTCACAAGGCCACCATTTCATTTTGAACAATATTATTTTGTAATACATGACAAAAATTTTTTTTGTCTGACATACTTACCTACTTATTAATTCGGCAATATATCTACATTTAAAAATATCTTAAGATACAGATTTTTGACCTAAGCGGAGACTTTATGTAACTGAAACATTGCATAATATGAATTATATCATGGTAATAATGTAAGCACATTGTTAAAAATTCAATTTCTCTTAGATTCTTATGGACTTAAAAAACGTGAATAGCACTGTTTGTTACCATGGATACCATTTTAGCATGAAAAAAACATTGTAACATTAGTAGAAAACTCTGAATGGCCAAAGAAACAAAAATATTACTTAACCAAACTCCATAAACTACAAAATATTTTATTTAATAGTGAAAAGTCCGTTTTCTAAAGTTTGAAAGGTTTTCAAAGGCGAAAAGTTTCTAAATCACCTGCGCTAATTGCTATTCTTGAGCCACCGAATTTGCACAGAATTACGAGCATTGATTTGTCTTGACTGTATTGTATCGGAGCCGGTGCGCAATTTAGACTTAAATGTACCTAATTAGTCACTAATACGGTATAAATTAACCTTAGTTCTTTTAATGGAAGAAACGTATGGAATCGACCGTGACATTGCATCTTAATGGAACATTAATTTAATAACTCATTAGAGGTATAAATATTTACCCTAAAAATATATAGTGCACCGCTTTCAACCCATTTTTTAGCTAATAGGCGATTGATTAGTTCCCGAGGCAACAATCATTATTAAGAATTCGTTACCTGATCATGCTGCTTATTAAGAGAGAAATAGTTTTCATATTTTATAAATCTTCTGTGCGTGTGTAATTAAACTCCTCCGAGTTTAATTACTACGAACGATTTTGATAAAATTTTTTGTGTGTTCAACTGGAATTGAGGATGGTTTATTAATAATATATAATTATATGACTTTTTTGTATTGAACACATGTTTACAGGACGTCTGTCCGATAGTGTTGTTTGATTATTTACTATTTTAAAAGAGTACCGAGAGTTTTTATGCCGGCTCTTACTCTCGGCCTACCCCCTCTGTCTTCTTTGCCGATGAGTAGGGATGTCTACCGATTCAAATTTAAAGACGTGATACCTGTATCTTATATTCCATAATAAACATATTTTATTTTAGTAAATAAAAAAAAACGTATGTTTGTAGCCTTCCAGTTCTTTAAAACGAACAAGACAAGTAAAAAGAAACAGGAAATTTTTAATAGCAACTACCCTCACCAATAAATGAGGATTAATCTTTAGTAAAAAGTAGTAGTTTTGTGTTGGAAGGGGAAACTAAGTTATGCTTATCGCTTAAAGGAAGTTTAGTAAGATTCTTGAACTTTGCTTTCTTTTATTACTCCCGCTGGAGGACACCCGGCGATAAGGCATTAAATGACTCCCTGTGTCCTCAACACGTTTTGAAATATGGAACTTAGTATGTAATGTTCTGTACCCGTAGTCTTGACAACCGACTTGATTAACAGCATCTGGTGAAAGGTAGATCACCATTCTCGTTAAACAAGTGCAACGTATTAGAGTAACAGTCAATCTAGTTGTGGAACAATAAATACTAAAGTGAAAGGGAGTCTAAGACTAGGTAATTGCTAGATAAATGACGTATTTACTTTAAGGAATGCAGGAAATTTTCAATACCTAACGATTAACGTCAAAATACATTGCGCCAATTGCCATCTCACACGATATTTTTTAAATTCTTTACATATTTTTCTAGGCCAGCAGTAGGTGGTTTTTGTTTGGAATTTCCATTTGCGCAAGCGACATGAGATTCGATCTATCATCTATGGGAATCATGTAAGGAATGTCAGAGCGTAAATTCCATAAAATTTATTAGTTTATGTAATCAATTGTAAAGTTTCGGCTTTCTTAGCAGCTTTATTTTTGCTAAAAAAGCAGAATGCATTATACATAACTATACCCTAACAAGAAAAAACAATTTTAATTTAATTATTGAAACTGGTGGAGACTGAATGAAACAATTTTTATAAACGAATTCGCAATATCGATTACATGTAATTAAATAATAAGATTCTTCAATCTTTTTGTATAAACTTTAAGTTTACATGCCACACACGTCGCGGTAATAGCTTTAAAAGAAAAGCCGTTCGTCGACTCTTCCTGGAATCGTCAAAGTTATTATGGCATAAAATTGCAATGAAATTAACAACGCCAGCCTGTCTGCCAGGGGAACGAGAGCCATTAGCCGACGAGGATCATACGATGTCGGAATGCAGCACGATTCAATAGAAATCTGATCGATAAAAACTTCTAACGAGTTTCTCAATCCAATACCATGTTAAGTAACCCGGCTCAGTCTTTCTCGTAATCGTAAATGGAAAGACAATTCGGTCTTTAATTCGTCAACGGGAATTTTAACGGGGCTATAAGTCATTTATTATTCTGGAGTTGAACTAAAGCGGAAATATACAGTCCATTTATGAAGTAGGCTATTGTTCTCAATAATTGTAATGTAGCAATAAACATCGAGAACGTATATGTCACGGTTTAAAATTAATAGTAACGTAAGCTAGTAGCAGTAGTCTATGATAGACAATATTAAAACCCTCAAAAAGTCAAACTAATAATGAACCTTTATGACAAAGCAAATAATTATTCTGTGGAATTCTTTATGGAGTCGATTATTTCGATATTTTTTTATTCTATAGATCAGCCTTCTGTGCCTAACATACGTCATCGAATTTTGCATCTAATACAAGCAATATCCTATATATTACATACAGGACATAAACAAAATCCATTGCGACATAATTACTCAACGATTTAGATTCAACAGTTAGGCTACGGGTGATTAGAATTTAATATTGAAGAAATTTACACAAAATATAAAGAGAACCTTTTCTTACCAAGAACAACAACTAAGTTGCATGTAAAAGTTATTAGAGTTTTTGTTTAGAATGGGTGAATTAACTTATGCTTATTTCGTAAAGAAAGTTTTTAGCGTGCCTTAGCACGGATTTGTAATTACTGTGTCAACAGAAACACTAACTAAATGATAATTACGTTTATGTTAAACACATGTTAATTTTACTTAAACCATAATAAACCTTATTCGATAAACGAGTGTTGCTTAGCTCTTGTAAGCGTATTTACTCATTAGTGTAGTATAGAACTTTAGTTTTGTGCGTAACCACAACAATTTATAACACATTTCGTTGCATTCAGAACTAATGGAATGATATATAATTAGGAGGGCAATGGGTGACCTTATAAGAACTCTCCCAGGAAACCATTTAAATTTTATTACAAATTTTGCCGTTCAATGAATAGAATAAAAAAATTAAAAGGAATCAACAGAGACATCATAAATAATCCTGGATATGAAAAGAAACACAATTAAGAAAAAAATTGTATAAAAGAAGAGAAAATAATAATTTAGAATATGGTAAACCAAATATTGATATGAATAACAATAATTTATGATATGAATACGACTGGAAGGGGTAATAAAGTAGAGATTTAAAGATAGAGGAAGTTAGGCAGGTTGAGGCAAGAAGTTTGAATTCGATAGCCTTCGATAGAAGATTCGCCTTGAAAGGAACAGAGTGGGATATCAAGGTTGTTACCGTAGTATTTAAGAAAGCGACCCTCAAACCTAGGTCGTTGTTTAGAACCTTACTTCCCTAGCTACACAAGCTACTTCACTTCGTTCGCTTAATTGCGGTGAAAAGATTGCAAACTAGCGAGTTGATTTATTATTACTATAAAGTGTAGGCAGTGAAAAGCGGTAACTGCGCCACTCTTCTAAGCAATGATTTAATGCATAAATTATAATTAAAATGTAACCTTTAAATAATAATAATAATACGACCACGGTAATAATGTTCATACCAACAACATATAAATGTATGAATATAATTATCCAGGCATGCATATTACCAGTAGTTTAGACAGTAATTACTCTTTGATTGCTTAGATTCATTCTTGCATAATATCATCCAAGAACACGCTTTGATCAGTTCACATAAGCTACGGCTCGTTGACCACATGTATGACACATTTAAACATTTACATGACATTTTTTCAGGCGCCGTGTCCAAGCACTCGTTCTTAACAGTATCATGCAACTCAAAGCATTTTGATTCGAATGTTTTACACATAATAAAAAAAGTTATGATCGATTTGTTAAACTGCGTTTTTCACCGACGATAGCACATATTATAGAATAGTAAACCTCAATATTTTTAATCTTTGATCTCAATAATTTATTAAAAATCAGTGTTATGATCCGAAATTTGAATTCTTAAATAAAAAACGCGTTTAAATGAATAGCGACAAGTAGCGAAAACATCATTAGGAACATGATGTACACTCTGACCGTCATCATATTTTTAACATTTTCTACCGTCTCAAATTATAAAGTGGGGAGAACAATAAACATGTCGCACTCTAAACGCTTGAGTGTGGTGGCGTCTGTACATTGTATGTATAATTGTTTTTTAAAAATAAAAATATTGTCATGTATTACAGGAATGGTGAAATAGGATATTATTTACCATCAATAATATTAAATCTTTTTTTTGAACTGTATAAAGTCCGGTTAGTTATTGTAGTTGATTAGTCTGTATTTTGCGTCTAATGTAATTGTAAACGTCCTATGAATGCTAATCATTTTCATTCATTATGCAAATTGCTTCTAGAAGTTGTTTAGAATAATTCATTATTTCACTTAAGCAAGAGAATGATCACAACCACCTGTCAATTGACAATTTATATATATCAAATTCTCGTGTCACAGTATTTTTGTAACTCCCTTGCAACGGCTTTTTTAACGGCCAAATTCTTTGTGTGTATTCGGTAGGTCTAAGGTCATTCGCAATATTTAAAACTGGTCCACCCAGTCAATCATTATTTTATATTTCTTAAAAAAAATCAAAAAATGTTCTATAATTTGACATTAAAAATACATATAAAAATTGTGCGTGTACTAGGTGTAGACACGTAAGAAGTGAAACTTCTTTATGATCTTATTTTTCGAAAAATGATCTACTATATGCAACTTTACAGAAATTCGTTAAATTAGATAAAGTTTAACAAAAGGCTTTTATTATCATAGACATGAATACAAATATTTCATTTTACCTTATTACTACGAAGATTATTATAGAATTTCATTAATTGTAATAGAATTATTACTATCATTGAAAAACGTGACGATTTGCTACAAAATTTCTCCCATACGTCGATAAAGAAGTTTCATTCCAACGCCGATAAAGAAGTTTGACTTCAAAAAGCAACATGGCGCGTAACCGAAAAATGTGACGCGTAACGAAAAAATGTTACACTAAATTTTTTTCCAACGCCGATAAAGAAGTTTCACTTCAATAAATCCTTGTGGGGATTATAAAGCATAAACGAAACGTAAGTTTCACGTGATTTATATAAGGAAACCATCAATCATTAGGTACACATATAAAACATATACAACTGCGGACGATTAAATCTTATTTGTCCGTGCTTGGGCTATCAAACTAAAAGACAAAGTGAGCCGTATGATTGTGAAAATTGTCACGCGACAATATCAGAATTTAAAACACATTATAGGAAGCACAACAAATTCGTTACTTGAATATAATTCTTAATTAAAATAACGCTTAATCCATTTCAGAATTTAAAAAAACCAGTGGCAGTACAACACTTAAGGTCTGGGCCTCAGTTTCCATTTTGTGATCATTTGTTTTTTCTAACAAGTTGATGTTTAACGGCTGTAGCCACTAGGCCAACGCCGCTCTTCGTTTGTTTCTTAATGAGCAAAGTTTGAGTTAAAACTTTTAATATTCATAACAATTATGATTACCACGATAACAAATGAAAATCGTACATAGATCTTATGGATATACAAAGAATGGTCCAATTTAGGTATGAAATTGAATACCAGATAAGTAAGGTTATTTCTTGTGTTAGAAGACGCAACTCTGAGGTCGTTCTTTCGTAACATATCGCTGAATGGATTTCTTCTCTCTTCCTGTGCGCAATAAACAAGCTTGCGTGCGGTGAAGGAAGATAACGTAGGGAAACCGCCATGTCTTAGATTGAATGGCGGTTAATTAGTATTTCTATTTAAAAATACCGTGAAAAGAGATATCCGAAACCAATGTTAATATTTAAGCTTTATTAATTGTATCTTATAGTCTTCCACGGATCGCTTCACAAGACTTTTGACAGGAGGTCTTGCATCTCCAAGGAAATACCATCTCTAATTGTTAAAAAAAATAACATACTCCTTCCTCAAAGGCCGGCAACGCACCCGCTAAAATGGGTGTCAATGGGGTGGTTTCCCAAAAAGGACAGTCATCGCTCTTTTTAGGCGTCCCGTAGGGTCATTTGCCCCCATATTCTATAAAAAAATAACCTAAACTATATTTTGTTTCAGTTTTTATTATCCCACAACGATGGGTAATGGCCATCATGGGATTTCTGGCGGTGGCGAACGCATACACAATGCGTGTGTGTCTGAACATAGCCATCACACAGATGGTCAGGCGGCATGCACCATCATCGGCGTACGAAGAAGGATCCTGTCCTGCTGAAGTTGAGGAAGCACTATCAGATACTTCTGTAAGTAGAAACTGAAATCAAATTAATTTGAATAAATGTAGTTACATTTTTAAACATTGTATACTGTTGTATATTGTATACAGGGTATAATTAGACCAGTACGGTTTCTAAGCTACCTAAAAACATCTTTAAATTTATTAGACATGGCTTAGGACTCAATTGCCTTCAGAAATAGGTTTCAAGCATAGCGTTATTTGTGTCTATGGCTCAGTGAACAGGCATAGGGCCTAACACGAAGAATGTACCTGAAATAATACAATACACATATTGAACTATACTAAAAGGGAAGTAAGTAAAGTATAACTGTAGATATTAAACATTAAAAAGCAGCCTGAATTTTGTTTTTAAATGAGAGAACCGGATATCGCAACAATTGGAAACTGAAATGGGGATTAAATAAGTTAAACTATAAACACGAAATGAAATTTAAACTTACTTTAATTAATCGAAAAATAGTAGTCTTTTAATATATTTTAATTACATTTTTTTTAATTTGCATTAAATTTTTAGGGTAATTTCCCTCTAAATAGTAATCTTGAAATAATATAATGCTTCTGTTTATATATATATAGTCATTAATTAGTAAAATATCAAGAATTTCACCTACTTAGACCATGTCGGGAGAGTTCAAGTTCATCTTAATTCAAAAACCTCAGATGGTAAATTTCTAGAAATCTTAGACTTCAATATAAAAATCGCATTTAAAAATTACAAAATAATAAAGAAGATAAGGAATACAATTAAAAGATAAAATAAGAAATATATTTTTTTTTAATTTAGAAAAAGTTACCGGCTAATGAGTATAAAAATTGCGATAGTCATACTTTTATATCGTTACGAGATAAATGCGACCTTGGATGTGCAGGTGAACTATATCGTTCGTTTTCTTCATAAATAAACCGCAGTTAGCAACTAATAAGATATATATCATTATATCCTTATTTGCGATGTTGCAAATTAAAATGTACACTTAATTATCATAGTTAAGTTGAAAGTTTCGGCCTTGACCAACAAAGCTTGAGCTGTGACTAATACCCGATGAATAAAGAACGGAACTAAGCGCAATCCCAAATCGCATCGCTACACTGGTACAAAAAGAATAAAATATGTAAGATTCCATAAATAAATATTAAAATTTATTTTTAATATATATTACATTTGTAATATTAGAGTTGAATGTCGTGAGCTTCAGCTGGTAAATATTAATAAAATTCTCGTAGTCAGTTCAAAAGTATTAAAGATGAAATTTTTACATCTTAATTTAAATTTTGTGTGTACCAAACTCAACAGTTTTGCTTTATAACCTACTCAATTAGCCATTCAAATATTTTATAAAAGTATACTGTAGGACATTTTGGGCTAAGCATATTGAATAATCTGTCATGTTACTAGCTCTCGTAAGGAGCCATAAAACACGTCTGCGAAGGTTAAATGTGCATAATAAACTAATAACAAACCACAAAGTGATATTTATGAGTTTTTATCGGAAATCGATTAAATAAAAAATATAATCAAAATAAAATTAAAGTTGTATTTTATATCTGAAATTATTTTTATGTCTACTACTACAGAATTAAACTATAGAGCCTTGGAAAAAAATAAGGTTTCTTTCCCTACAAATCCAACACAATCATGAATGCATCGGAACTACCGTTTTCTTAAAAGAATAGCCCGTCCCAAGATATTGACCCTAGGATTTTTATATTAAACTTTTAAAATTAACAAGATGTTCACTCAGCCACAGCGACGTGAAATATAGAATAATCTTCTTATTTAACGTAGCAGATCTAAAAAATAAGTGGCACCAGTCAGCCTCCTGCCTTGCGATTCTGTAACTCACTTTACGACTGATTTGAGCGCGACCACCGCCGCTGCGAAAACCGCTGTGAGAGTTCGAAAAGTGAGTTACATCGCAAGCTGTACCTGACACTGTTTCCACACAATTTTTTTCCTACACCGTACGGACGAGTGTTTAAATCAAACTTGCAAAGAAAATCTATTGCTACACAGCAATGATTCGAATGCAAGACTTGAGAGGAGCACTCTTTTTTAACTAAACAGATACCAGTAATGAAATATCATCTAACATTGACTATCATTTTCAGGAAATCAGTGGATACAATTGGGATGAAGAGACTCAGGGCATTATTTTGAGCGCATTCTATTACGGATACATTGTAACGCACTTACCTGGTGGAATGTTAGCTGAGAGATTTGGCGGGAAATACTCCCTTGGTTTTGGAGTACTTAGTACAGCTGTTTTCACTCTACTCACACCATGGACTGTGAATATAGGCGGCGCCACGGGCCTTATTATTTTACGAGTCTTGGAAGGACTCGGGGAGGTAGGGCTTTTATCATATTTGTTGTTTAAACCAACGAAATAAACTGTAACTGTTGTTTAAGAATTCTAAGAGATACGAAAGAATGAGACTGAGTAGCTAAGAGAATCAGTTTCTTTCATTCTGAATCTCTGCCTTAGTTCGTTTTTGTCGTTCCTTTTAAATCTCGACTATACATATAGGAATTTTGCGTCCTCAACGTCTCGCTCGCCTACTCTTGAGAGGGTAAACGCGTATATTTTGTAAAACGAACCACTGAAATAATTTTTTTTAGGGTACAACGTTCCCTGCTTTGAATGCAATGCTTGCCCGATGGGCTCCAGTATCTGAGAGAGGAAGAATGGGTTCCCTTGTATTTGGAGGAGCTCAAATAGGAAATATTGCTGGAACATATTTATCTGGATTAGTCATTAAAGAGACTGGTGACTGGGAGTCTGTATTCTATCTCTTCGGCAGTATTGGAATTTTGTGGTTCATTTTATGGGTACGTAGTATTAATATGTAGCTTATTATACTGAGAATATATTGTTACTATTAGCTTAAATTATTTCTCTCCCTTCACATATATTAAACATTGTATATGTACGATAAAACATTACCAAAAACAGTACCAACATTAGAGCAAGTTCGTTATTTTTTTTACGTTTTAAAACATTATATAAACAAATTCTATATAGTCTAGAGCTATAGTCTCGCATATCTATTAGAATATAGAGAAAAGTATTGTCTTGTTCACAATAGCGTGAGAACCTTTGTCATAGTAAATAATTGCATATTTCAGGCTCTACTTTGTTACAACGACCCTGAATCACATCCGTACATATCTGACAAAGAGAAGAAATACCTGGAAGAAGCGCTTGGTAGACATCGTAATAGCCAACCATCAGCTATTCCGTGGAAAGCTATCTTTATGTCCGTTCCGCTTTGGGCTCTTGTGTGTGCACAGGTAAAAACATTGAATTATACCATCAGCGTATTTGTGGTATTCATGAAATGATTTTAAATTTATAAAAAGCTATAAAGGAGTTAAAATACTCCCAATTACTTAACTTGAGAGCTACAATTGAAAACACGCTGTATAGCACGCGAAACGTCGGATAAATTTAAAATTATGTAAAATAATTGTAAATTTATATACATAACTTCAATCCGGTAAAAAAGTGTTCTCTTTACAATTGAATTTTTTTGCTGAATTATTTTTGGTCCTAGTCAAGATGAACCCAACAAATAACCATTAGCTAACCATGATGATGCAATTGGTTTTTGAATTGTCACGAAGCTATTATAACAACGATTGATATATCTATATTGATATATATACATAAGTTATCCAAGATTATTCAATAGATAAAAAATTAATGACATAATAATTATTCGAATTGATTTTATAGCATGTTATAATAATATATATACAAATGTCATTATTTTATAGACAAAAGCACATTCCATTTATATACATAAATGAATAATTATTCATTTGTTTTTCTAATAGCGAGAATAACAAAACACGCCCGTCTTGTATCCCTCACATTTGAAATATTGTTAATAGTCCATTGAAATGTTACAATTTGAGGGCCAAACTGAACATTTGTTAGAGGACGCAATATTATTTATGGGACCTGTAGGGGGGGTCAATACAAGCTTAACCTCAAGTTTGTGGGGTTGGCGTGCTTGTCCCCCGGCCGCCATCTTGGATAAAGGGGTCCAAAAACCACGTTTTTGGCTATATCTCCTAAACTATCCATCGTACATAAAACTTGTAAAGACACATTTTGTAGCAAATCGCTGTGCCTACAATTATGTTTATGTAACTTTTTATCATAAATCCAAAATTCAAAAAGTTATAAGTGAAAATATTTCCTATTTCTAAAGACACTAGGTGCGTCAATGCTCATGACAAGCCGATCAAAACAGCAGTTTTACCTTACTTTTAAGATCTCTCGTTTATTTTAAACAAATTTTCCAAATAATTTTTTTTAATTTTTTTTTATTCCTACAATTTTACTTATTGGTATTCCTAGTAGGCCTATTCCACAGACAACTTGCTGATATGGTAATCTTTGACATAATTATATCATCAATCAGTTATTAGAATGGTAGCTAGCTATCACTTTTTTATTTAAAACATTTTGAATTATGGATTTATGATAAAAAGTTACATAGACATAATCGTAGACACAGCGATTTGCTACAAAATGTGTCTTTACAAGTTTTATGTACGATGGATAGTTTAGGAGATATAGCCAAAAACGTGGTTTTTGGACCCCTTTATCCAAGATGGCGGCCGGGGGACAAGCACGCCAACCCCACAAACTTGGAGTTAAGCTTGTATTGACCCCCCCTACATGTTCCATAAATAAAATTGCGTCCTCTAAAAAACGCAACCCCAAATGTAACTTTTCAATGGACTATAACGTTAAATACACGTTCCTAGCAAACAATAAATAAACATATAGGTAAATTTAATAAATACAAATCAATTGGTACTTCCTCATTGAACCGTGAATGTTGTCAATAATGAATTGTATTGTCAGTCGTTATTCATTTCCTTGAATGACGAAATCTAAATATTTTGCTCCAATAATAGCAATTATATAAAAGCTATATTGTATTTGCTTAGAACTCCAATTTTATAGTTATATAGTAAGCAACCATAGGAACAAGTTATCGGATGTTATCACTGATGATTTTCTAAGGTCTTTTAATACGCTAACTCCCGAATAAACAATAATTTGGTACCAACAATTTCAATGACCTAGTGTATACAAAACCTTGTAGATTAAGGGGCCGTCTCCACAACGAGAGAATCGCGACTACAATCGTCTCGATTTCTTACAATATCTAGAACGTGTCTCACACGGCGATCTTAACCGGCGATGCGACGGGTGGTTGAGTGCGAGCGAAACGTCATTACATCCTGGAGCCTGTTGCTACTAATGCCGCACGTCGCGCACTCGCCGCGGAACGTGGCGCTCTCGCAGAACGCAGTCGTGACCATACATCAATAAAAAATCCATAGTAAATAATTATTTTATTGACTGATTTAGACACTACTTATTTCGGTCTCGTCTTGACCATGAATCTAAATGAAACTGAACAAATGAGCACAACTGTCGTCAAAGAAACCGGCGATTCCGTTACGAGTCGTTGCGGATACGCTTGATTCCGTACGAATCGCGAATAGCTCGGAATAACGCTCTTTCGGAGATACCCGACGATAAAAACGCGGACTTCATTCTCTTGGAGACGGCCCCTTAGGCTGCATATTTTGTTTTATGTGATGTCCCGCAACCCCACATGAATATGACAAAAATTATTTTGTTCTTCGTATTTCTGTATCTGTTTCATGATAATTTATTTTTCTTAATAGTATGTAGGCCTTCTGTACATGATTCACGTTATCGATATTGGCCCAATAGATTGGTTCAGCCGTGGTTCATCCCTCACACATCACTGCATTGATACTTCAAGCTATTAGTATATTAAACAAAGTATGAAAGTACAGATGATTTGTGAATCTAAACCATCTAGATATCCACGCATACAAAAAAAAACATTCAAATCGGTCCAGTTTAAGAGGAGTTCAGTGGCATACACACGTACAGTAGAATTATATATGTAAGCTATCCTATCTTTTAAGTTAGATCAAACTGCACACGGTGTGCAATTTTGATTGAAATTGGTTAAGTAGTTTAGGTGTCCATAGCGGACAAACAACGTGACGTGTAATATATATTAAAATAATTGATAACTTTCAGATCGGCCACGATTACGGCTATTTCACAATGGTCACGGACTTACCAAAATATATGACCGGCGTCCTGAAATTCGACATCCACAGAACGGGAACGTTGGCTGCGTTACCTTATATTGTGATGTGGATAAGCTCAATCATATTCGGCTGGCTGTGTGATAAGATTGTTAAGAGGCAATGGATGACTGTCACTAATGCTAGGAAGACTTTTACGACTATCGGTAAGTTTATTGATAAGTGTTTTGTTTTACGACTTTGAGGCACACGCTCCATGTTTTTCAAATAGTTTATGACTAGTGATTTATGTACTGTTTTAATGTTTGATGCATTACGTATCCACGTATTATATTTCAAGCTTGAAATAGTTTGAAACGTACTAATGAAATAAAAAACAATTAAGTAAATTATTTTATTAAGGTAACTTTTATATATAACCAACTTTTATAAAACTTACAAACCAAATGTATAGTGTATTAACATATAATTGCCATGAACAGCCCTAAATAAAATACTTATTGGTGTGACTGTGCGTACGTATGTGTTTATGAATGTGTGTGTGTGACTATTATTTAAGACTATTTATTAAATCACATTTATTACACATGGCACGAATTCTATTTATGAGGGCGTTACGAGAAAAGTTATTCTTATTTGTATTAACCGAGAAAAGAGTAAATAATACCAGTGTATAATAGCTAATACTGTTATTCAACTGATATAGCCATTAAGGTGCTTTTAATCAAATTTCACTCCATTTATGTTAACGTATAATGGAAATTTTCTTTAATCTTTACCCGGATCACATCTAATTAAATATATATTTTATTTGTTTATCATCCACGCTTTGACGGAGATATAAGCAAATAACTTAGCAAATATAGATTTTTGTTTAGCATGACACTCTTCTTTAATATTGAGTTACGATGTAAACATGAAACTAGATGATGACGTGCCTTTCATTCCAAAACCAATATGTTTGGCGAAATATTTTTATTATGATGGCGCCATAGTTTTTAGGTTATACGAATTGAGTGTTACAAAAATCAAAAAAGTTTTCCAATAACTTTTTTAAAGTGGTATTTTCAAAACGGGTAGGTTGTTTTTAATATTATAAAATAAAATGATATATTAGCGAACCCTGCATTAATTCTTTATAATTTGACTTCTAATACAATTATGTATAAGTAGGTAATTATTTATGTAAATTTTAAATGGTGGTTGAAGAAATATTGACTCGCGATCATTGTTGAGATTGAACGGTTGCAAATAAGGATGTTTTCTAACTTTATTTACACTGTCAATATGCTTTACATATTTTGATAAATACCATTTTCTTATTTCTTACATATGACCAGTCACAATGTTTATCGATTGTAAAACATTTAAGATCCGCAATACTTAAGAGAATACTAATGATAAAAGGGAAAGCGATGTCAACACGTGATATGTTTGACGCCACAGGAATTGATGCAGTTTAATTACAAATTAATTGTAACGAACCACATTATTTTTCAATTAATAATTAATCTTTTATTCAAAATTAAAATAAATAATTTGAAAAATTTTCCGACATTTAAATCTCATGAATGGCTCGTCTCGGTTTAAAGAAATCCAGGTAACAGCCCTCCATAGAGTACTTGTTACTGCGTTAAAGTCAAAGTTATTGCGTCAGGACCGAAAAAATATTCTATGGAAGCTTTTTAATTTTTTAAGTAAAAAGCATCAACATCCACAATTCTCACGTAGTTCATAAGTAGTTTAAATCATGGCTGTCTTATTATAAACGTTAAGACAGCTTAAAAAAAAAGTAGCGATACAACCATTTTAGGTCTGGACCTCAGATTTCTGTATCTGTTTCATGATCATTTGTCAATCTAATAGGCAAGTAGGTGATCAGTTTCCTGTGCCTGACACACGACGTCGATTGTTTGGGTCTAAGGCAAAACTACTTCACCGTTCGAGCGAATGTAAATGCGCACTTAAAAAGTCCATTGGTGCACAGACGGAGATCGAACCTACGACCTCAGGGTTGAGAGTCGCACGCTGAAACCACTAGGCCAACACTGCTATTGAGACAAGCTGTCTTGACTGAAGCATAATAGTAATGAGATATTAATATTTTCCTGACAGCAAATTGTCTAGCCTAAAGAGGTTAATATCTCTTCGGTCCAGCTAAGTTTCTTAAGATGTTGCTCAACTTAATTATGCCTGAGAAAATAGTTCCTTCCTTATGTATAGAAATTATATTAGTTTAGGTAACGTCTAAGGTCAGATTTAGCAAATTAGGATGTGACAACGATATTTATATGAGAAATAAATATAATTAGTATTACATAAGAAAAGAGCGTACCAATTCTTGAAAGCCCGGCAACGCAATTGCGAACCCACTGGAAATGTGAGTGTCTATGGTCGGCGGTATCACTTAACATTGGGTTTGCTCTCTGTCATATAAAAAAAACCATATTACCAATAGAATATGTGTTTAGGTAAACTCCCTTACATTATTACATAAACGGGCTATAACATAGTGCTTTAGCGTTCGTTTCTAATCAAGTCATTTGTTTAAAACTCTGCACCAATGAATTTTCTTTCTACTTCCGAAATTAACCATTTCTCGCACGGCGAAGGAAGACATCATGAGGTAACTTTCTTAGACTATAAAATCGTAGTAAAAGAATCTTATCTGCGGCCAGGTTTAAATTTTTTATTTCTCATTAAGAATGTTACAATATTCACTTATACCAGTATATACGAATTAGTAATACCATAATACATTAGCTAGCTAAATGTGTAGTAAAAAAAGTTCATCTTATTTAGGATGTTTATATAATTGTTTGTCAATTTTATTTCCAGCATCTGTCGGCCCCGGTATCTGCATGATCCTAGCGTCATACTCCGGCTGTAATACTGAGACAGTTGTCATATTATTCACGGCTTCGATGGGTCTTATGGGAGCCTTTTATCCAGGAATGAAAGTGAACGCTCTCGACCTCAGCAGTAACTACGCTGGTACCATAATGGCTATTGTGAATGGCATAGGAGCTATTACTGGAATAATAGCGCCTTTCTTAGTTGGGCTGTTGACACCTGATGTTAGTATGACTATAATTATATATCTACGTTATTGCTTATATGAATAAGTAAAAATAAATCAAAATTTAGTAAAAAAATGAAATGGACAGAAATTAGTCAATTTTTCACGTTTAGCAAATAATCATGACGTTTAAAGCCACATAAGCGCAACAATGAAGAATGGGGCAGATATTTACAAGTAACATAATTTTTTTTGAAGTTACCAGCCATGCCTACGAAACATTTATTGTTATAACTGAAATCGAACCTCGCTTACGTACAAGTCATGAATGCGGAAGCCGGCAACCAATCAACCAACTCAGTAAACATATTATGTAACAAAATATAAAAATAATCTATTGATCAACAAATATAGAGGTACTCAGGGCCCTCAATTATTGCTAATTTTAGGTATATTGTTTTCGTTAATGATTTGCTCATAAAAAAAAGGGTGCGTGTACGTATGTACGCGCGTAAGAAGTTATACTTCTTTGGCATTATTAAAAATAGTTTTTGATTGCATGCAAATAATTAGTTACAATTAAATAATCAAAGACTGGAAAAGGAGTCATTATAATCAATAAAGTTTAGTTTACATTTGAAAAATTAAATAAATAAATATTTATTGATATTATAATTATATTTATTATTATTTTCTAATATTAATTAGTATTGATTTAAATATTCAATTTAAATCACTTTTGATTATAATTCAGACGCACATATAAAATTCGCACTTGTATAATGAAAACAAAATGAAAACACGTGTTTTAAATGTAGAAACTCAAAGCATGTGAATAAATATTATAAATATAAATACACAGTGAACAGAGGCGGCGTGCGGGCTAACATGCGCCACTAACTTCATTCTGTTAATTTTGTGTCAAGGTGCGCGCGCATCGTAAAATTTCACTCTCATCAATTTTTCATAACGCGCCTAAAGAAGTATAACTTCAAAAAAGTTCTGTACAAGACGTTACTTGAGAATATTTTTTTATACCCAACGATTATTTTTAACAATTCCTTTTTTTTCACATTAAAAACATTCACTTATGTTGTTACAGAGCACTCTCGTACAATGGCGTCTAGTATTTTGGATCACCCTAGCGGTATTTATCGTTACGAATTTAGTATTCGTGGCATGGGCATCCGGCGATGAACAATGGTGGAACAGCACACCTCAAGAAGCGAGAAAGCAGACAGAGGCTTCAGGGTCTGTTAATACTGAAGTTAAGACTCAGGCGTAGTTTTTTAATTGGTTATAGTGTCCGAAGAGTTCAGAAAACAAATTATCGTTAAAATATTATTAACAACAATTATAATAATTTTATATAAACATTATTTAAGCCTAAAGCTTTAAATTTGTATGAAACTTAAATAAAAATCATGCCAATTAACAATTACAAAAATATCTCTCTGTCGCTGAACTCTTTGGAATAGAAGTAAAAAGTACAAAAAGTATTGTAAATATTGATTCTTTCTGAATACCAAAACGTTAATACCATACGTACATGTCATAAATACTAATCGTCAATTACTACAGAAACTGCAGCTGTACTATAGAAAAAACGACGACTGTCCATTAGTAAAGATATTGAAACCGTTAGCGAGTGATGGTTACGTTTTACGTACAACCCATCCATACGTTTTGGAGTTCAGTAAGAATCAACCGCCAGTGATGTGATAGTAAATTATGAATATAAATTAATAGGAAATATTGAAATTGCATAGCGATTGTTACATGTGAAATTTGTCCAATTATGTAGGGGATATAAAACAAAAGACGAACGAAACATTTCGTATGAATGTGATTGATCAAACGGGAACATGGAACGTGTTTGTGACGTCTTTGATTGGATTAGTGAAGTTGACCAATAAAACGAAACGCGCTATCGTGTCTTTCGTTTAAAACTCTCACTTCCAGGGTATTATTCATACATAAATCATCCTTTTAAGACTATTTTAAATCAGAATCAAGGTCGTCAAATTCTACTAAGAGAAGTGCAAAAAGGCTGATTCAGTTTAATGAATGAAGTAGTTGTTATATGGGTTAATGTCGATAATTGTACTGAAACATGTTATATAGTTTGAGGCGTATTGCTTGTTACATTTTAAATAATTCTGATACATGGAAGATATTTTTGTCTCGCCTATGTCTATTATATGGTTTCCCTCTCGCTACATAAGCAAAACTTTGTACATATTTAATTGATTATTAAGGTAAAAGGCAGGGTTCACTTGGTTTTGTTTAATATTGCATATGTGAAACTTTATTATAATAACAGAATTGTCATCTTTGAAAAACTTTATTACGTGGCATTGTACATTTGATTGAATGTGTATGTAAATAGGAATGAATGAAAGTGTAGTGCTTAAAATTTATACTAGATGGCGCGAATATTAACGGTATGCCTTTGTTAAAATTTTGTTATAGCATCAATTAAATATTAATAGTAGACTTGCAACGAATATTCGGTTACTATTCGGTATTCGGCTGCTTTTATTATATATATACTAATATAAAATCGGCCGAATACCGAATATCTACATATTATTCGGCCGAATACCGAATACTTAAATAATATATTTTGTCATAGAGAAATAATAGGTAAAATTAAAATCGATTGATTACGTATATATTCATTTCTGTTACAATCATTTAAGTAGTCATTGGTACATAACACCGGTAGATAATCATCTTCTAAATGGAAACAAATGGAGGATTCTATGTATTTTAATTATTGTGGTAATCAAAATTTAGAAGGGTAAGGTTCTCATTTCTTTTATAATCATTCATTCAATAGTCATTGGTATATAAAACAGGTACATAATTTAATCATTTTCTGTATTAAATAAGTTAAGAATTTTTCTATGCATTTGAATTATCTTCATAATCTAAATTTAGAAGGGGAACGTTATGGTGCAGATAGACTAACTTTTCTGCATTTTTACAAGTACAAGTTTTTGGCGCTAAAATCCAGCCGAATACTTTTGCCTAATATTCGGCTATTCGGTCAGAGGCCTCGCCGAATATTCGGTATTCGGTATACTGCCGAATATACTATTCGTTGCAAGTCTAATTAATAGTATTTTTTTAATTTAAAATCCAATTATCAACCGAGAGTATGACGCAACCACATAAACCACGATGTTACAGTAATGTTAAATTTAACTGAAAACGAAATTTGATCATATCAGTAAAACAAGAAAAGGCTGTGAACAAAATTTATTAGCTTAACACAAAGTTTAAAAAATTTGTGCCATTTGAACGATCTGTTGTAATATGTAAAATATTTATAAGGAATGTATTATAATGTTTTTAATAAATAATTAAACTTATTACGTCTTTTATTATAAAATTAAAAAATAAAATAACAAACATACAAATAAAAACTCCTTACATAAAAACAACACACTTAAAATTAAAAAATAAAATATAATAGAAAATATAGTTTTCATAATGGGTATGTTTCCATTTTTTTTTAATTAAATTTTATGACTAATACACACAGTTGACTATAATAATTAACACTTCATTTAAATATTACTTTAAGTTAAACAATCGTAAATAAAATTACTTAAAAATAAGTGGCATACTAGAATCAGAAACGTGTTGGATGTCACTGAATCATCGCCAAAGGTCCAAGTTACAATATAGTTTTGAGCGATGTCAAATATGTCAAACTTTATACAGAAAAAAAAGTTTCGGCGCATGTAGAATATCCGTGCATTTACATTTAGCACAACACCTAAAAATGCCTGATTTTATTCTACGATATTTTTAAATATTAAATTCCTAGCCACTAGATGGGACCACGATAATATTAAAGACTAATTTTCTTTTGATAATGTAATAAAAATCTAGACAATCCAAGTTTTTGTTTTTTGTAAAAAACCCTTGCAGGGTTTTCTTCCTAAAAAATGTTTTTTTTTATTTCATTATTCTGTGAAAGTACGTTAAAACAAATACAAATATGCATTAGATACATTAAAAAATATAGTTTTGAATTCTGTTAAGGGAGCGTTCAAGTATTACGTCACGCAATTTTTGGAGATTCTTGACCCCTACCCCATGTCACGCGCAGTAACGTTTTTCTCTACCCAATAGTAAAACATGCGTGACCACCCAGTGGCTCTTTATACCTAAAAGTTACCATTATGTGGTGTAAAGTACTGGAAAGTCGAAAATAATATTAACAATAACGCGTAATTCAATCCCCGCCAAAAATCGTCACGTTTTACAAGAGGAAAAAAAATCGTTACATTTCTTCTATCTTTTAAATAAAAATGTATGATTTTTTTTAACGGGAATCGATTTTATGATAAGAAAAGAGAACCTTAAGATGTATGACAACACTGTAGCGTCATTACACGATAGTAATCTTGATATTTTATATAAAAAAAGTATTAATTTTAATAAATAAATCGCATAGTAAATTAAAATTGTGTTATTCAACTACCACACATTCGCTTTCCGAACAAAAATATTTTTTGTCTAAAATAAAGTCTACTGTGAAAGATATTTAAGTGACTCCGGGCTGGCCTTTGTTTTAGAACAGTTCCATCACCGAAGTAGGTGACGACGCGTCAGCGAGATCAGTCCTTTGGTTGAGGATCTGAAGTGCCTCAGCCGTGGTGATGGTGACGAGGCCGATGGTGTTGAGTAGTTTCTTCGTATTTGGATCATTTCTAGCTAAGCCCGTTCGGTAACTACGCGCGTCGTCATATTCGAAGTTGAGAAGTACAACGGTTTCAGCCAATCTGCAGATGATAAATTATTTGTCAAAATAGGAAGGACTTAATGCGTCTTTTTCATGAATAATTTTGTCTTGGCCAAACAGAAAAACGCATCGCTTAATTTAGACTAATTACAATCAAGCGAAAGGTAGCTACGTTTTTACGCTTTAAGTCTTTGAGCCGAGCCAATTGTTTTTCACCGGAGACTGAACCCAGTACAATAAGATAACGAGAATACTAAAGTATTTCAGTAAAATAAAGGTTTCATAAATGTATCGTAACTTATTATTAATGGGCAATAAAACTTCAAAACTCGTTTAATCTCAACATTTTAGCTTTAAAAAATACTAAAACTGTTAACATGGTTTTATTTAAATTATTATTGTTTAGTCATCTTACCTTGGCACAGGAAGAACTTCGAAATTTTTGTGGTCGGACCTCGTAAAAGCCGGCATGATATTTCTCATGACGTCATGCGTGAATTGGATAGTTCCACCAGTATTGAACCAGTTGCACAAAACCACCTCCTAAAAATAAATTATTTTAAATTAAATTAATTAACATACATATTTATAATGTAGTTCTACAAATACGGCCTGAGATTGCTACATTGTAGTTTTTAGACATTAAAACTTTGCGGAAAGAGAGGTGTGAGAGTAGTTTGTCCTTTTTTGTTTTGTTGGCAACACTGTTCATGAAAAATTCGAAACTATACTCTGATTTTTAATTCCGTAGAATTCTGACAGCTATCATTTTTTGACATGTCAGAGATGCCAAACCTTTTTGGCCGGGCATATTTTTCTATTTCAATACGAGTCTGAACATCCGAGTCTATACATACATTTTATTGTTGGTTAATGTATCCATTTTATTAAGAGCGGTGGTTTTACGGCGAGTGATAATTGCGTCCCTTTTCATCACAAACAGTAAAAAACGCACAAGTAAAGATAACATTTTATTTTTTTAAAGGTTTACTAAGCCTGGAATAAGTAAGCACTGATGCCAGCTAATTAATAAAATTAAGTAATTAAAGTTAATTCGATATATTGTTCGTAATATTGAAATATTTGTTATTTTTGTATTAGGTCACTTGAGTAAGTAAATATTAAGATTTACCTTTTTGTAGGTAAAACATAAAAAATACGTAGCATTTTTTTAGTGCCCTCAAATAAGTCAAATTTGTCTTTTTAGCGGAGAACTTTTTTAGTAGCAACACTTATGAAATGTCAGAATTTTATGGAATGAAAAATCAGAGTATATAACTTTTTTTGTCGAAAAATGAATAAAACATTCGCTCGCTCGCCGCACCGGTTCTTCCTCGGCATAGACTGTTAAAGTAACGATGAAAATGTTTAAATTTTCAGAAAAATCTTCGATGACAATATTTTGGATATGTAGAAAAAGAGAAGCGTAGATGAGAGAAGTGGAAAAATTTGGAGGCCTTCACTTCTTCCGGTATGGTTTTTAACAATAAAATAACATAAACTTAATGTAAGTGGAATAAAGTACT